CTGGAATGATTTGAAGATGTTCAGTGGGATTGAATAGGTTGAAAAATTGTTCTTGAATAATTTGTCATACAATTCTTTCATGACTCTTCAAAACCATTTTCAGAATGCTTCTTCTATCATGTGGTTCGTCCTGAACCACCGTCGAATTGATCGATAGATCAATTCTCTACTTTTTTCTGATTTCTCGCTAAATGCGATGGATTATCAGAGTAGGGAGGGGAAATAGGAATAGCAAGCCATCGCATGGAGAATTTTTGGATGGGGAATGACGATCTGTCATATGACCAAAAGGGGGCATAGTGCATGATAGTATTAGATCGCATAGGGCACAGTAATAGATAAGTGCTTCTCACGATCTCGCGACTCATGCGAGATCGTGAAGATGATAGTAATATTGTTAGTAATATTGTTCTAGTTCACTTGTATCATATATAACTGGTTGATAAAAACATGAAGATTCACCTTCGCTTAACTCCGGGGTTTTCACTGCCCACTTTCAGGTAATTTGGGGGTGTCAGAGGGGCAATAAGGGGATCGCGAAATCTGATGTTATCCGTTCAAATAGCATTATTGTAGCTGGATGGGAGGGACGGGAGGGGTAATGACGACCTGCCAGACTATCGAAAGGGGTAATGGAGCNAATGGAGCACCCGAGCATGGGACCATTAAACTAACTGCTTCAATTCATCCGAAGACCTCTCATCAACACAACAACACTCTTCACTAATAAGCAATGCAATATAGAATGGCAATACAGTTAAACAGATATCCGTAACAAATCTGCAATATACGTTGAACAAATATCATCTCCGCGTATTTAGATCACAATTGAGCACTTCATTGAAACGACACATTTTCTGATCGAACGCTCAATCGAATAATTTTTTGAAGTGAACCGTTATTGTCAGCAAATAAGGTCAATAAACTCACGATCAGTGTTAAATAAGGTGACGAATAATTTAACGGCGTTTATTCATTCAAATAATTTCAAGTTAAGAGAGGAAGGCAAATATGATCGTCGAATCATCAATGTACACAAACGGATATAACCATTTTCAAACATCGAGTTGAAATGAATGTCCACATTTAAAATGTCCACTAAACACTTAAATTTTATGAGCGAGCAAACTGACCAATGACAATGAAAATGAACAACAACAGCAATCAATATATTAACAACCTTAAATCGCAAACGACTGCATCATCACAAAATGTTCAGTTCTGTAACAAACGATATGATAAATTATTGGTATCCATACATAACATGCAAGCCTGAATATGCACCCCATCTCAGTCACATACCTGTTTTCTTGCCCCCTACTCCCCCACCTTACCGTTTTCAAGCTAAATATCTTCTCGATTTAATCTCGATGTTCGAAGTTTCTTTCGTCCCCCCCCCCCGGTCCTCTAACAATAAGTTAATTCCTCGAGATATATTCAGAAGATATGTTAGTTGAATTTAGGCTAACAGATGAGCACTGTTTTACATTAGTAACACTTTGATAGATGCGGTGTATCAGTTAAGGTTCAAAAGTTAAAGCAATGTTCGTTTTTACTACGGCGTTGTCGAGCGACGATAATCTGTGATATCAATGATTTATTTTTATATGAAAGTCACAACTGAAATTGAATTGTTGTCTGATATCGACGTTCGTGTGATAAATTGATGTTAAAAGATATTGAGGCATTGAGTGATCGCATTGAACTCGAGTGTTATTGATGTACCAATTGTTGCATTGTCACGAAATTTGTGAACTGATTCGTTTGCCGATTCATGCGTTTCACAACATTTATACTGACAGCCAAAATTCATGATCACTTTTCATTAAACTATCCAAAAAAACTCCAATTTTTTTCAGAAACTGAAATATGATTGCTCATTTCTAGGGCACTTTATTGCGTAGATTATATCAACTGTCAGTTAGAACATTTAACATACATGAATTGTAAAAAAACATCGTTCAAAATGAGACATCGTGAATTTTTTTGATTTGGATTTATAATTCAAGAAATAAATAAACACTTACGAATGTACATATAAACATCAAATTTTCCCAATAAAATGCTTACTATTAGACTAATTGAACGATTATCATAATGGTTGATTTAAATAAGGCGATAAAAGTAATCGAATTAGAAGAATGGCTTCAGTGAATAGCAATAACAACCAGAACAACGATAATAACATTAATAAAAAGAGGATTAATCATGATAACAGTAGTGATAACGATGATAATGTCAGTACTGATAACAATACCACGACTTATACAAGATCAAAAATGAGCAGAATTTTTTCGAGCACGTCTGATGATATTCGGTTCAATAAGAGGTTTCAACGTGGTCGTGGTCGAATAGGGCAAGTAAAATGCTTCGCTACAATCTCGTTGTGAACACTTGATACCAGCTATTAATTTGTCCCAAAATGACCAGATTCGTTCCGAGAGATTTTCCTCTTGTGTCATTGAATTGTTGCTCTTTATATCATGATCATCATCAGTGTTATCGTTAATTGTCATAGTTGTGTCTGGATAATGAGTGGTCGTTGACGCTGAGGTTGTCTCTATGAAATTATTATCCAAACAACATTTGTAATGATGAATATCTGAGTTGGATGTATCGACTAACTGCGCATTCAGCGAATCTGATTCCAGCTCGATATGAGACGGGGTAGTTTTTGGATTGTTATCATTACTATTGATATGGTCGTTGATGTATTGGTCGATAACATCCTTGATAAGCTTATTGGAGGATGGAGAGGCTGAGGTTGTGCTGAATGGCTGTGTTGTGTGGGTTAAGATATCAGATCGTTTATCATCCTCATTGATCACTCTTATCAGTTCGTTTTGCTTCCGTTTGATAGCGCTCTCCGTATCGTCTTCAGTATCAGCATCTTCCTCACCGTCGTCTTCATTCAGTGCATCTAACGACGAGTGTCGTGATTCCACTGGTGATATACTGCTCTCCACCAGCAACTCTTCACTCTCTTTAAAGTCAGCAAACAGTTCCGATACCGATTTACTACTTGCCACAACGGCACCTGAATGGCGATCACGTGAAACTGTTGTTTTCGAGTTATTCTTAGTATTGTAATTGATATCGGTGTTATTATCAGACGTTGGGACTGTGCTGTTGG